AAGCCATTGCACTTCTGGAGTGCGGCACGGCTGTTGAGAGAGCGCGTGCAACCAGTGTCCACCACAGAACTCAGGCGAGTCCACTCGTCGTGTTTTTCGCGGCAGGCATCGACGTACACTCGGATAAGGGAAGACGATGATGTAGTCAGGGCCAAACAGCAATCGGTTTTTCCTCCTGGCTGGTCAGAGACACCAGCAGATGCAGTGCCCCGTGTTCTCCTGGTCGGGCAGTTTCTCCGGATGTGGCCTAGCTCGTGACAATGATGGCAACGAACTCGGCTGCTCTTTGAGGAAGATGGGCCTGCTGACGAGCTCTGCGTGGGGGGTTCCCAGCGCGGCAGGTCTTCTTGACATGCCCAGTTTTCCCGCATGTGTAACAATACAAAGACTTCGCTGGTTCGGTGGCAGCAGCGCCAATGGCATGCGATGATGCAGCGCTTTCAACCAGTTGCAAAGCGTGAACCTTCTCTGTCACGTCACTGACGGAGAGGGCCTGTCCAGCACCCTGCAAACGAATGTCTCGCGCGAACGTCGGTGGCAAGCCGCAAATCACCTGCTCCAAAAGGACCGGGTCCTTGTCGTCTGTAATCTTGTGGCCAGCTAAGCTCAAGTGGTGCTTCAGGTCAGCAACGTAGCCGTCCACAGCCTCATCAGGGCGTAGGCGACGGGACAGGAACTGCTGATAAGAATCAGCAGGTGCAGGCGCGAAGGCCTTTTCAAGTAGCGCTTTCACGGTTGCCTCCTTTTTCCTGTCCGCCTCCGCCATGGACATGAAGACTTTGAACGCCTGGCCATCTAGGACCAGGGGCAGGTGCTGCATCCGTTTTTCCTCCGTGTCCCACTTTTGAATATCCGCCAGGACACGGAACTTCGACCAAAACGTCTCCAGGTCATCTCCTTTTCCGCGGAACGTCCCCAGGAATCCATCGAGTTTCAGCGACATTATTTCCAAATCAAGGCCCACCACCAAGCGACAACACAGTCGCACCAGGTATCAGCGGGTTTCGGTACCAGATGTTATGGAACTTCAGTCACGCAGGCATGCACGCCAACTCGACCAACAGGCAGTACGAAAGTAATTAGTTGTTATTCAGGGAAGAACATTTCAGAGAGAGAGAGAGAAAACAAGTTGAGAGCAAAACGACAACATACGAACTACTAATGAACTCATGGCAAAGAGTTCCCAAAAGGCAACTGAGTACAGCCAACTCAGATGCATATGGATTATCGGGCTAGAGCGATACTGAGTGCGGTGGTACGACTTCTACGCACAGCACGCAAGACTCGCAACAACGCACTATACCGGAACTAACGATAGCATGATAAGACTGAAAGCGTGCATACAGCAAGCAATGCAAAACAAAGGAAACACGTCCATGCATCGTGTGCAGCAGACCACGATGATTGATGAAAGGGCAAACTGTCATACTGGGTGAAACACTACCCATGTAGGCTTACAGCATGATCAATGAATAGTGAAGCAATAGACAGATAGATAGGTTCAGTTATATATACATTACACCGTAGTGTGTTTTAAAAGCATGCGATTCCCACTAACACAATCGGATTGTCGTTGTTACAAGTGTCAACCGCTCATCTGATTCCGTAATATTTTGGCTGTTCAATTTTGGTTCAACCGGAACCCCCCTGTAGAGATCTCTGGATCCGCCCCTGCCACTCTCCATTCTTTTTAACCTTTCCCTCTCCTCCGCCACATTCCCGTCACGATGGAAGTCAGCCACTGTCATTCCACTGTACAAAAATAAAGGCGACCAGAACAACCCGTCTAATTACCGACCAATCTCCCTCCTGTCCTGCGTCTCCAAACCGCTAGAGAGAATAGTGTACGACCGCTTGTACGACCATATATCCCCTATTCTTCACCCCGCACAATCTGGCTTCCGCCGTAAGGACAACACATCCCTGCAATTGTCCCGCATAATCCAAGACCTCTGCTCCCTAAAAGACCAGCGGCAGGTCTCCTGCATCTGTTTCTTTGACCTCTCCAAGGCCTTCGACACCGTGTGGCACAAGGGCCTGATCGCCAAACTTCGTGCCCGTGGTGTCTCCGGCTCCCTACTCGCCTGGATAACTAGCTACCTCTTGGACCGAAATCAGTGCGTCACAGTAAATGGAACCTTATCTGACCCCGAGTCTGTGACATCCGGAGTGCCCCAGGGCTCCATTTTAGGTCCCCTGCTCTTCCTCGCATACGTTAATGACCTCCCTTATTCAATTCCCAATATTTCTTTGTTTGCAGATGATTCCACTGTCCTTGCTTCCTCCCCATCTCACGCCTCCCTGTACCCCAAAGTTCAGACCTGTATCAACGACATTGTTCACTGGATGAGCACTTGGTACCTTTAAAAGCCAAATGTGACCAAAACCGAGCTCCTCCTTCCCCCCCCCCCCCCCCCACAGATCCAGTGCCCATCTTCCACTTTCCCGATGATCCCGGTCACCCTATCTCTGTAGCGCCCCACCATAAACACCTTGGCATTGTCATAGATTCCGCCCTCTCCTGGTCTCACCATGCTGATCATGTGTCGTCCAAAGTATACCGATCTGCCGGCATAATGTCAAGTCACTTGTCCCATTTGCCCCAAAATTGCCGGAATAATTTTTATAAATCGTACATTCTTCCCCTCTTCACGTACGGCTTCCCTGCCTGGTCCACCATTAACAAAACCCACATAGGTAAATTAGAAGTTCTCATCGCCGTATACTGCGCATCATATTTCGTACTGATCGTTATCTCTAGACTTGTATGCTGCTGCATCCATTACCTTGATGCTTCCAAGTGCTTCCAAGTGCACATTCAATTTTTCTTGACCAGCACCCTGCTCATTTACAGTACCTTAATTGGTTCAATTCAGGTGGCACCACCCGAAGCTGCGTTCGTCTCCCCCTAGCTAGGTCTACCCTATTCGTATATTCCGCTTTCTTTTCCTCCTACTCAACGTGGCTCCAACTGCCTCCCAGTGTTAGACAAGCTCCAGATATGCCCAAATTCCATACCCTCGTCAGACAGCAATTCAGTATCTCCCAGTAAACAAAGTCACAGTCACCACTTCCGCTGCATAGCTCGCTGAGCATCCCATTGCTTTTTAAGTTGCTAATCCCTTCCCACTTTGTGTACGTGCTCTTCATTTTCTTTTTTTCTCTTCTTCCGTGGTTGGTCTCACCCTCTCCTCAATTCAATTGGCTGTCTTGACATGCCACGAGGTGCAGAAATAAATAAATAAATGTTGCTGATTGTTGACAAAACGATGTGTTCGATGTGCGTGAGAATCGACTTGCGCAGCAAATCGACGTTTTGCCTGAAAACGACGTCACAGAAAGATGCGAGTGTGAAACGGCTATAATGGGGGTTGTGCGTCTCGATATTTGTATAAGAATGGTCAAAAATTGTGGATTCAGATTTTACGGTCTACACCAATGAATGGACTGTTGAGTTCAGATCAACCACCAATAAATGGCGTTTACATCATTAGGACTTGGCAGGGCACGACATCCCTTTGAAGACTGCCAGTGACCTAGAAGGAGTACGAGCATTTGCTGCAGACAAATCGAAATGGAGATCAGACATTGTTTATGGATGAGTCTTTGTCGACTGGAGGCAGAAGCGGACTTGGCTTAATTTCAGTGTATTCTCATACATTATTCTTTGGCCTTTGTACGCGCGCTGTGGTATTATTATTATTATTATTATTATTATTATGTACCCCTTGGGTCTGACAAAATGTTCCCAGTTGACTCTGGGTAGCAGTACGGGTGGAAAAACTGCTCCCGGGCAGGATTTTAACCAGATACCTCTCGTATCTCAATCATGGTCTTTTACGAACCCACTGTGCCTGCCTGGTCTATGAACAGCAGTCTAACAGGCCATCAAAACCAACTTATACTAAAGTGGTAAACAGTAGAAATTGTGTGAACGGAGTTGTGACACCAATCCAAGGGCCGGTATGAAGAGGACGTCTTCTTGTCACGATCATCAGTGGCATGTCGTGCCCAAATTGAAATATGAGCCGCAATCAGCGAAAACGACCCTTAGAGATTTCGTAATGTTTTCGAGAAAAAGATCGATTTGTGACGTTCAACGATTGTTTTGATCGCGCTGCGAACAGCGCGACGACTTCTTGAACTCCTTGCTTGAAGTAATTATTATTTATTTTGAAGTTAGTTGAAGTGGTGTCGAGTGGCGACTCCAGTGTTCCTTGATCTTACTGCGATTGATGCGGACACCAGAGCTGTTCGCAGCGCACACACGGCAGTCATTGTCTACAGCTAGCTCGAGCCTGGTGGGGATCCGGGAGTGGATGCTGAAGTAGCCGCTGAAGTTCAAAATAAGGATGAGACGTTCTTTGGTTCCGACATCCGCATGTCGACAGCGAGGCGGAATCGCAGCCGTCATCTCCTGCTGCGATGCGGCTCAAGGTGGCCGATGACTCGTCAGAGTCGGAAGATGAGGAGTCGTCACCTGAGATAAATTCTGGGTCTGGGGCTAGTGACGGCCGCGACGTCGTGTCTTCAGCTGCGGAGGAAGAAATGGAAGACGAGATTGCGGAACGCCTCCACGCAGGATGCAGCTGCGAATATGTCGATCATTTCTCCGCACTCATCAGCTATTCTTTGTCATTATAGCTGCTTACTGCACTATTTCAAAAGTATTCAAGCTGCCCACTCACCTTCGAATGCTGAATATTCATTGTACACATACATCGTATACATACATTGCACCAATTTGGGGTACACCTTGTATATTGGTGTATACACCCGTTTTGAATCAGAATATTGAACTTTTTCTTGGCTGAGGTCCTGCAGTAGATATGGTTCAACAAATTTCTAACCAAAAAGGAATTTTGAAAATGTTGACCCAAAGGGCTGTTTTCGCTGGTTGAGGCCCATAATAATAACGCACATCACAGGTTTTGTGCGCAATATCCTCCCTCATTGTAAAATGGAGTAACGCCATGTCCGTTTTCTATTGTGCTTTATAGAGATTGAATGCAGGAAAACGATTCACGTTTCAAATGGAAAAGCTATAATTGGAAAACGCTCTGTCGGTTCGATTGCGGCCATTAGCTGTGATGAAGGATATGCACTGAACGGAGGCGATCCAGCAGTAACGTGTGCAAATATATCAGCTGTCACTGCGGAATGGACAGGTCTCAACGCAAGATGCAATCGTACGTATAGTCATACTAGTAACCCTAAATGCTTTAAACACTTTACAGAATTTGGCTCAGCACCGCAACAATGCACCGCCGACTTCCTTTCCAGCATTCAATGCATCGAGTACAATAGAGCAATGGGGATTGCATTGGACGAAGACTCTCGGTACTTTAAACAATTGGATTACCATTATCACTCATCTTGGTCCTTTTTAAGTAGTTGTGCCGGGGAGGGGATATCGCACAAAATGGAGGGGATGACCACATCACGGGTACTAGAAGTAATCGCAAATGTGAGTTGTAGGATGCTTGGAAGACATCCCCTCCTCCCCTCCCCCCCCCCCCCCCACCCTCCCCACTCCCAATGAAAGCCACCGACTACGACAATGGGAAAATTAGACCCAGGAAGAGGGGCATGACATTGTAGTGGAAAGGACTATTCAAGAGCTGCGACATAGAAGCGCGCAACGACATTAACTGCAAAGTGGAAAGTACCAATCAAGAACAGCATCAAGAATCGAAATATGAAAACAGAAGAATGCCAAGATATAACTGTTTCATCAATATGTAAGAGACCGATAGTATGAGTCACTGTGGCAGCTCTGAATCTTTCCAGTGTTGTGGTGGATCGAGCATCTCCTGGAAGTAGAATTAGAGGCAAACCTCGACTTTCCAGGATTTATTATTACAATGGGACGATCGAGTCTACCCTCCTGCTGGGTTCGTTTTTCTCTGGTGTTTCTATCCTCCCTGGTTATTTGGGGGACTAGGAAGGCTCAACACGCACGTTTAATTATGTGGCGAGTTAGCATATGGCCGATTGGTTTGCAGGCCTGCCTGAGAATCATGAGGTCCCGAGTTCAAGACCCGCGCTGATAGCAGGGAGCGTGTAAAAAGACTTTTTACGCGTGCTGAACTGCGCCGACACCCACGGTCAACTGGGTACTCACAGCTCGGAGTGAGAATAACAAGGATGCAGTTTACAGGGTTATGGGCCGTTACACGCCCGATTGGTTGAGAGACTAACCTCCTCCCCCCCCTGACTCACTTGTGAGGTCTGCATTCGCCACTAAGGGTAATAGGCATAGTGGTGGCCTGCGGATGCGAAGGCTAGTTTGTTTGTTTCTGAACATTCAAGCGATGCCGACGCGGATCCCGCGAATATTATTATTATTATTAGTTAGCACTCTGAGTACTGCACGTCTGTGGGTGTAACGTTTGTGATATGCAGGGACGTCGCACACGGTACGGTCACTGCGGCATTGACTGTACCACTCCTTGCCCCATGTAACCCGTGAACCCTAAAATACACTGATCTGGCTCTAGATTTCCAACATTTTCGGCTCAGCCACCCCTCCCCTCGAGTCAATTGTACTTCAGATGGCTGACCATATCACACTAAAATACCTTGCGACGCCCTCATGTGGGTGTGCAATGCATCTGTCTAAGCGTTATAGCGATAATTTAGCGGCAATTCTAACGTTGTAGCGTTGTTCTCTTGTAATTTAGTGGAACCGGTATTGAGTAACTGAGTTTTATGTTTCGTTACATTGTCGTCAGATCTCCTGTGTACCGGTTTTGTGGCACAATGATTATAGCCATTATATTTGGTCGTCTCCATTCTTGTGCAATCATGCATATGTAGGTTGGTTCTCTTCATGTTATTGTGACCAATTTCATAGATGTTGGTTGCCTTGTTGCTTTCTCTCCCCTCTCCTCTCACCCAAGCCATTCTGCATAAGCGAAGCTGTGGACGCAGCATACTGCTGCTACACTTCAACGCGGGAATGCGTATAATAGTAATAATAATAATAATAAACGTTATAACAAGAGTAGATAAACAAGAGTGTGCAACTCCGGATCTCTCCTGCACAATCTGCAGATACCCCCGCCCACGGCGGAATTTTTTGTTGACGTCACCTTTTTTCAGAGAAACGCGGACTTTGCCGCAGAGCAGTGTGAGAGCACGTGCTGGGCATCGACCAATGTAGTGTAAAGCCCGGCCAAGTGCACGAAGGAAACCTCTCCAAAAGGCTCGCAGCGCGTGCGTCGTCGAAAAGATTACGTCAACAAAAAATTCCGCCGTGGGCCAACCCATCCGCGAGTTGCACACTCTTGTTTATCTACTCTTGGTTATAATATGGGTCTAGCCTTCATTTGTCCTGCGTAGTATTTCATATCCTACTGCAGTTATTGCAATCTGTAAAAATTTTGTGCTCAGCTATCGACTGTGGGTGTCCCCCCAGCGGACTCAAGTCTGATGTAAGCTACACAACAACAGTCCTCAACTCCACTGTGACATACGTTTGCCAGCCTGACACAACGCCTCTGATAGGCGACAGGCAAATAGTTTGCAATGCCCAAGGACGATGGGAAGGAGCTTCCCTCATCTGTGAAGGTTTGTGTTACTAAACCCCCTTGAGATATTTTGATTTCTTCCAGAATGGTTGTCTACTGACACAAAACTTGGTTCGAAGTCGACAACTCAAAGTTCACTGAGAGGTTTCCTTCGCCGTGTATATCGGCTGTGAAAGGTCCATGAACTAATGGAGATCCTTAGGTGTGGTTCACATGAGGTATAAGCTCCTTACAACTGATTTTAGTACAAAACTGCTTTAAAAACAGCACGTGTTCACACCGTGCATGTGAAAGGCTGCGTAAGAACGAGCGGATCCTTACGAAACCATGGAACCTCGCTGACGTGGTCTCATCTCCTTCGGAAAAGGTTTTTTTATTTTTTGTTTGTGAATTGTCTGGATAACTTTTAGTGTACTTCATCTCATGTCAGCCTGCGATTAACTGGACTATTCTCGAAGCCACAGTTGTCCGCATAACTAGCTGCGCTTCTCATGCTGATGCAGAAGTTGTAGTTGTTTGTTTTGAAGTCGTGGTTGTTGTTCGGTCACCCACGCGCAACGCCGAGGCTGAAGACGAATTTGCGAGAAATCCGAAGAACAAGAAAGCTGTGAAAAGTGTTTACGGTTTTGCATATATATCTATGTCCATGGACATGTGTGGAGGGCATAGTACGGCAACCTCAATTGTCAGTCCACTGCATGTGGTCAGTAGCAGTCCGACTGGTATATGGTGGATCCATTAATTTTGTGGTTGCTCGCCCACATTGCCTGCCCCTGTGAGCTAATGTTTTGAAGGTCGATGCATGGATCTCTGATAGGCCGCCCAGAGATCGATGTGTCGACCCTCTAAACGTTCCGGGAACACCTGGCAGGGCATCTACCGCTCAGAAAACACAACCGCGCAAACAAGGTAATTATTTGTGCTTCCAGGATCTAGGTGCTCTATTTTGTTTGTGCAAATCAAGGTCATTGTCAGCCAAACGCGCCATAATCCACAACGCGCCATAATCCATAATATCCTGCTTTCTACACCCGTTGCCGAGTTGCTGAAAACATAAAATGTATGCCCTTTCCCAAAAGCAGCGGAAGTTGCCAAAGTGATCACATTACAAAACTTGCTTGTAAGCATGATGTACGCGGTGAACCGCACCTAAGCAAAAGTACGTTAACGCTAACTTTTACAGTACTTAGTCCTAGCCGTGACACAAGAAAAGAAAACGTTACGGAGCTCACAATAACGGGCCGACGTTCGCTAGGGCAATTCTGCAAAAACTTCAAAACCCGCATTGTTTTGTAATTGGCAGGAGATACAAAACGTGTAGATCGAGACCGGAGTCGAGATTGCTTCCTCTTGTGACTTTCAGCTTTTTTTAGTAAGTTTTGCCTTTCAGTTTACAATGTCAGCCTCCTCCGCGTCGTGCCCTTCACCCTCTATTTCAATTGGGAAACATAGGACCGGTTCGGCGGCACCGCTGAGGAAGAAATCCATCGACCATTTCCGGACTTGCAGAAGCTGGAGAATCCGTTCAGCCATCGCTCTTGCATGTAGGAAAGGGCTTCTAAGAACCTGTGCACAGCTAAACTCATTTTCGCCCTGCCTTGGCCATTCTCTAGTGAAAGACCTCGTCAAGGTATTCATTCGGAACGACAGCAAACTAACCCCTGTTTAAAATTTTGAATTTTCCCCGCTTTTTTCCATTCATATCACCATAGTTGTCACGACTACTTCATCTGAACTATAATGTGCATTGTGCTAAGGGTCCATTTAGTACGGTAAGGATTGCTTATTAGTTAACTTTTTGACGCTAAATAAAACAGATAAATAAATAGAACAGATTTCAGATTACATGTGGTAGTGTGAATTATGTGACTGTTCCTGTACCGTCTTATAAAAGCCAACTTTGTATCATTCTTCTTCTATATCACTGATGATGCCCTCCTGGGTGAAAATTTGGACAACTTGAACTGTACGTGGTCTCGTTATATGCATACAGGTAGAATGGACTACATGGAAATTCTGTAGGTATTCGCGAATTTCCGTTATATCCGCAGTCGTTATTAGCAAAGTTGACTGTATCTGTGGCCCAATACAAGAGGATAGCGGTAGTTCTCCGGATTGTGATACCTCGGTCTAAAACTAGGTTCACATTCGTTGATGAGCGACAGGGCGCGGCGCGTGGAGCGACGGGCGTCCAATGTGGATTCCAGAAACGAGACTGCATCCTTACCTCTCAGAACTCAATTTTTGGGTTCGGCACCAGGGTAGAGATGAAATTAATTTTGAAAATGATTTCTGTGATTCTCTGGGGAATCTCTAACTTCCTTTTAGTTCTGAATTTTTACAAAGTAAGTTAACCTTTTGAGCACGACGCTACCTGAATGCCCTTAAAAGTCCTGTCTGGGCACAAAAATCTCGATGCTTGAAAGGGCAGTGCTTCCGTCCAGATATGGTTGAACAGAAATGTATTGCAACTCAGAGTCTCATAAGAGGATTCTTCTTTCTGAAATTCGCAGAAATACATTTAAAATTTCCTCTCCACTTTGCTGATAAGTCAGGCACAGTGGGCTGGTCAAAGACCATGATTGAGATACGCGAGGTACCTGTTTAAGTCCTGCCCGGGAGCGTTTCTAGCTACGCTGCTACCCACAGTCCACTGGAATCTTGTGGCCAGGCACAAGGGGTATATGGACGCGGATAATGGGGTTTCTTGGCACGTGTGCACGTGTACCAGTGGTTGTGAGACGTATCCCGTCTCCTCACCATTAGGCTCTTCATCTAGCGCTGGCGTTTACCACTTGCTAGCGGCCGTCGTGAGTTTCCTTCGGGAACGGACAAGCAAATATTTCGGGACTTTTGATCACCACCTTTTGTACTGACATTTTTGTATGTGTTCCGCTGTTAATTATAACTAGATCTACAATGTGATCAGCCCAATGAAATCTCCAATGGCAATGCGATAGTTGGAAAACAGAATTTAGCTTCCCTTTCGTCTATACGATGCAATGATGGATTCATTTTCGAGGGAGACGACCCAAGTATAACGTGTGAGAGGTTACCAGACGAGTCAACCGAATGGACCAGTGTCAAAGGGGAATGTCAACGTATGTACATGTACATGTATGCTCAATGGGGTTCACAATATCACCTAACCGTGGATTTCTTCTTACAGCTGCAACTAGTTCTGGAGTATTGATTAATTTTATCTGATCATGTACTTGCTTTGTTCCCTCGGAGCTATTAGTAAACCCATTTTATGCTCGTAAAAGTATCATTGGATTTCCTGAAAGGAATGCGTGCAGCTACGTATTTAAATGACATATGAACGAAATCGCTATATACTACCGGTAATACCTAGCCAATATTGAACATTTAGGTGTCTTCCACGGGTCGGAGGTCTTCCTTAATGAACCCGAAAGGGCACTTTTGGTCGACCCTGGACACTACCTTTCAGCTGAAAGACAAAAACTGTGTGGACAGCTTATACTAGTAAGTGCCATACACTAACTATAGTTATACTCTGAGAAGTATCCATGCTCTCCCGTGTATTCAACGTTGCAGCTCTTCCACCAAACATCACTGTCAATGCCACAGACGCTAACATCTCGCTAACGATTGAACATATTCACACAGCTCCGCTGATCCAGCAGTATTGTGCAGTAGTGGTCTCCCTTACCAGCAGCCATAATGAAAGCGAAGCCGAAAGTTGTCACCAAGGCCCCAACGTGGTCATAGAGCGATCCTCGAGCGATGACGTCTTCCAGCTAATGGCATACGTGGTCACTGATGAGAACGTAACAAGCAAGTTGTCTCGAAGCGCTGTTGTTCTCCCCTTGTCATAATGTAGGTTGGTATAAAGCACTAGAATTACTCTAAAAGTTGAATGAAATGATTGTGCTTTGCTGTCAATTCGTGAGTTTTGTATTTTCACTAGTATAATACCTCTAGTAGAAAGGTGATGGCCACGTGGATAGGAGTTAAGATTAACCGTACACTAATATAATATTATAATCAGAAAGTTTAACAACTAGGCATAAAACTGGCAGAATACATTTGAAGAGCTGACAATTAAGTTGGTATGTCTGAATTTAACAAAATATGTGCAAGCACTTGTAGTTCTCTCCGATTGTGCCAACAGTTGCAGGTAGTTTTCCTTCGCCGTGATCATCGACTGTGCAACGCCTTTGAAAGAGTTCCTGGCGGGAACCATGAAACTTTCATACCCCTCGATAATGGCCCAAACATCACATTATTTATGGGTCTACGAACGAGTTACGCAACTGCGTCTACGAACAAACTACGAACAAACCTCCATCAAACGAACCTTGCCTCGCCTTAGGAGGGTTCTTGGAGCGGTACCGCTTAACCACGCCCGCATCCCAGAACACCCATGAAGCCACATATGATCGTCTTGAAAAGAGCCAATTTACAAGCGCTGATAAAACAGCCAGCTCCTCAATTAGCTTGTACTATACACCGGCAGATAGTAGAATACCTCTTCTAACACGTCTTTGCAAATATGCCCCATCAGAATCTTCGCTTTGTTTCCCAGAGGGCATTAGCGCTTTTACGTTTGGTAAATTGCTTGCCTTCGCCAACGTGGAAGGTAACATCCCGGGAGTGCTCAGTCTGCCACCGCCAGTAATCCTTAGATCGGAGCAATTACAACCTTGAAACTTGAATACTCCTCAGACAATTGTCGAAATCACATTATGTATGGGTCTGCAAACAAGCCACACCACAGACTGCACGAATAAGCTACGAACAAAACTCCATCAAGCCAACACTGCCTCACATCAGCACAGTTCCCGGGCTTTAGCAACGCAAGCAAATTTTCAATAGTTGCAACAAATATTGTTCTTGGCGCAAGGAGAAGTTTGTGATCTGGAGTGAAAAATCATCACCGCTGCTTTTCCTTGTCAGAATCAACAACTCTTTGTTCTGCAGCGTTGGGAGTAGTGTTGGAGTAAAATTGATAATAAAATGTCGCGGCGGTCTGTTTTCATGCGCAGGCATGAATTTGGCCGCATTTCAGCTTGGTGGAGTGGACAAATGCTTGGAAAATGGAGGATGGGGAAAATGTACTCAGTGCTAGAAGAGGTATTATAGTTACTATCTGTTGGTGCATAGTACTTTGAATGCGAATCTAGCTGACTGTTTTATCAGTGATTGCAAATAGGCTATGAAGATGATCATTTGTGGGGTCAAGGATTGATGGCTCTTGTCTTTTGGAATGGTGGCATGGCTAAACGGTGCTGACCCAGGAGGCCATATTGGCTTCATTGAGTTTTTGTCGCCGCCTGTTCGTGTACGTTAGGGTGTCGCTCGTTTGTAGACCAACACATCATTGTGATTTTCCTCTCATTTCCTTGGGTTTGCCATTTTCAATGTTTCCTTCAGAAATGTTTTCAAGAGTTTTTTTCACATTTATTCTACCCCCCCCCCCCCCCCAAGGTGACCTACATGCACATTTTGGTAAACATCTACACATAGTACAATTCTTCCTATACCTCAACATATTGAACTGTAAAATGTGAACAGAAAATCAGAACAATTATGCCGGTCCACCAGGTATAATTATGTCAATTGTTGCTAACAACATTTTCTCCTATAAACACCCTTAACTGCTAGAGTTCCTTTTATGAATATGTTGGTCCTTTGATTGCGACTACAGTAATGTTCCGCCCTCGTTGCAAATTGAGTGTTACCTTGTTCTTTTTCTGCTAGGCCCAAGTTCCAAAAAGCCGAACTCATGCCGGGATGCGTCGTCTAGAAACATTCCGGCATCTGTAATTCTGTCCATAGTGGTTGCAGTAATCACTGGAGTTACTTCAGTAGCTGCTCTGCTGCAAGTTACCTACTGGAAGATACAGGACTACAATGAAGGATCTCGAAAACCCGGGGATTGTTTTCCTTGTCTAAGCCACAACAGTGCGAGGACGAAGAGGCGTTAGATGACAACATTAAACGAAATTTGGGTAACTATGTCGATAATCATCAACGCTGGGAAGCGCTGTACGACACCGATCTGTATGTAAACCGTGATATTTCGGACGAGGTGAGGCATGGCAATGGCGTGCCTTACGATCCGTTTGACACCGCAGGAGATGCCACAGGGCTCAGCACACGCTAGGCTGACCTACAATTTAATCTTTGCCATTCGCCTGTGTGACCCTGCCAAGCACATGATAATTGAAGAACAGAATGAGACAGTCTGCAGGTGCACTGTTCCGCCGCATGCCCAGCCCAGAATACCTTCCGAAATTGAGCGAGCGATTCACAAACGTGTTACCTTTTGGGACTTACTTTTTCGTGCACAGTTTTTTCCTGTATCCCTTAGCTCATGCATCTCCCAATATTAAATCCTTGATATCACAGCCCCATTGCGTTTTCGAATCTTCCCTTGAACCAATGGCTTTCCCCACTCTGGTGGGTAAAAAAATAGTATTGTGGAGAAAGGCAGCGTACATTTGCCGCCATTCTATACACCATGGTTGATTTCCCGACCAAATCTCATCTGACATAATAACAAAGCTCAAGTGTGTTTTATTTTACACAAATTCTTTCCTTTGCCAGAGATTTTCACGCTAACTTGCTTTTAATCTCATAATGTTTTTTCGCACTTCCCTTCCCGTTGGAATGGCGGGCAGACCAAATAGTATAAAGTAATGCAATTTAAACTTAATGCTCTATACCAATTAATACTTTATACCAATGTTTGCTTTTTCCGCTTGTTGGGCTGTTCATAATCCCCTTTCAATGGGTAATTATTTCCCTTTTTTATTCAGTGTTCTAAACCAAAATACCCTTATTCAATAAACTGACCCACTCAGATGTACACTTCTCTGCAGTGCGTAAATGTATATGTAGTTCACTTTGGTTAATACCATTTTTCGTCAGTACCGGCGGTCAGTGTTGTGCATTGTTATCGCCTGATTGTTTAGTTACCGGTGGTGTTAGTGGACATTATAGGGTAACTTGTAGTTCCTTGGTCCTTTTTTCTTTGCTATGAAATAATCCTTGGCTCTCCATCCCAGTTCATCAATACCATTTTTCAACAGAGATGGCCAATACGAAGGCATTCATTTGAGGCTCCCTAAACAGGTGACTTGGACGCCATGCTGTCAGGAGCCAAAGGAATGGAATAAGTCAGTGTTGCTTCACTTCCATCAAATCAAGGGTAGTAGTAATGTACAGGTTCCTGCACGAGTACGAGGGCAGTACCGCAGAATCCAGCCCGCTCCGCGATAGCGGCAAAGGCTGGATGAACAGCGGTACTGGCCGAGGATGAGTGACTGGAACGTGTTTCCCGTGTGCACCCAAGCCCAGGAGTATGCATGCACTGGCACACCATACAACAATGTGCATAACTCGCTTTTTCCTTTATGCCACGTGATTATCGCCTTGGTTTCGAGCAATGTCAGGTCAAACTGCGAGGGCTGGAAAGCGCGGTCCTGCCTGCTAAAAGCCTTCACAGGTGATGGAACTGGATCCACTGCCCGTCGTCAAGGTCGGCAAGTGCCGACGGGTAGGAACGGATTCCACTGTCCGTCGTCACTTGACGACGGACAGGAACGGAGCCCACAGCATTCATTGGCTCACGAACTTGGCGGGTGTTTCGCAAATACAAGGACAACGGAACGAGCGACAAAATACGTCGTACAATGATTGTTTGGTGTGCGCGTGCATGCACACTCTTTGCCTTGGGTGCACAAGGGAAACACGTTCTAGTCGTTCATACTCGGCCAGTACCGCTGTTCATCCAGGCCTTGCTGCTATCGGGGCGCGGGCTGGAATTCGCGTTACTGCCGTCGTACTGGTGCAGGAACCTGTGCGTCCGTTGTCTTTGTATTCACGAAACACGCGCAAGTTTGTGAGCCAATGAAAGCAGTGGATTCCGTGGAATGTCTGGAATCAGTTCCTGCCCGTCGTCACTTGACGACGCGCAATGGATCCAGTTCCATCATGTTTCAGCAGGCAGGACCGCGATTTCCAGCCCCCGCAGATTGATATGTCATAGGTCGACTCCAAGGCTACAATAACGTGATATACGGGAAAGTTTCATACACGGGATTTATCATGGATGATTTGGAACTGTTTTCGTTGGCTATATTCTCATCTCTCTTCGCTTTGTTCTCTCTGCCTGGGCTCTCATCTATCTTTTTTTGCTTCCTTGTATTAATGAGAGAATATATGCTGGTTTGTATTTGTGGGTCTCCATGATGCGTGGTCCATGCGTACTCATCCGGAAGATATTTTTGAATATTAATAATAATATCATGGACGCTCACCAATCAGACACACATAGCATGCACACAACCAACAGGCACACACGCACCGTGACATTGATGAGCAGATTGAATAGCCGACCAGCATCCCGACAGACATAGGGACAGCAGTAAGTGATGGTGACGGAGAGACAGATGGATACAAATGTAGGGGTAGTGAAGGAAGAAGGAAGTTATGGATAAACGTCGGTGGCCTACATTCACTCCTCTGGCTCCTGACAGCATGGCTTCACTGTTACCTGTCTCGGGAAGCTCAATCGCATGTATGTACCTTGGTGCCGAAAAAGAAAGAGTTTTAAACTCTACTGTTAGAAAGAACAAATGATTGATCTGTTACGTACATGGCTGAGAAAAGCAAAAAAAAAGGTTTGCGGACTACTAGTACCTAAGCGCAATACGCCAGTGTGTGGTTACTAGGCCCCGGCGGATATTGCTAGCATTATATCATACATAATAAATTATTAGCACTTTCAGGAAACTAGCACTGCGCTAGTATAATCCGGCAAGTTATGGAGAAAACTAGCATATTTGTGCGAAAACTTGCATATTTGTGCGAAAACTAGCATATTATTGCAAAATACGGAATTTTCGTGAGAATTCACAATGCTCTCGCGACTACTA